GGTACGGGAAATCGAACTAAGGCCCTTGTACTTTCCAGGCAGGTGCTGTGCCACTGAGCTATATCCCTGGCCCCAAGAGATTAGATTTTGAGAGTGTAGATAATAACTACATTTTTAAAAAGTGCATAGTTTTTATTAGTACATGTTAGTGGTACATAAGGATTACATTCATTGTGGGGCATCAGTGCCTCAGTACATAAGGTACATAAGGATTACATTCATTGTGGGGCGTCAGTGTCTCAGATCTCTTTATCCCCCCTAGTAATTTTTCATAGCTCTTTGTAGTCTGACATACTTTCACATTTCTGAAGAAATTTGTATATTTGTAGTAAATGTGTTCATTATTGCTAAAAACTTTATCAGTGTCTCTACCATAGGATATCACTTAGACGCCCTGCTCAGAAGGATCTGAAGAAGAAAGAAAAACACCATGTTCCCATGAAAGCAAAGAGATGCGCCACTTCTGTAATCAGTGACATTCCGCCTTCCAAAAAAATGAAAGTGTAAGGAGACCCAATCTTTTTTTTTTTTTTTTTTTTGAGACAGGATTTCACTGCGTAGCCCAGGCTGGCCTTGAGCTCAAGCCAGTCCTCTTGCCTTAGCCTCCCGAGTGCTGGGATTACAGGTGTGCACCACCATGCCCACCTCATCTACATACTTCTTATTGCTAAAGGCAGATATACTGTGCTTTGTATACCACCTGTATGTTAAATTTCTTGCCTGAATTTAAACTTTGGAGTGAACTGAGTAGAATTACAGCTGGGTACATCTTCAGCCTGGTGCACCCAGGGCTTGGGAAGCTCCTTAAGCTGTGACCATGACGAGTTGTTACCTGTGTCGTGGAGGGTGATTCCCCTTAGTGGACCCAGGTTTTACCTGTTTATTTCTGTGGCTAAGGACAAGACAAATATATGGTATCTTTTCCTGTTTTTATCAGTTAGGAATCTTGAGGCAAACAGTATTCACCTAGAGTGTTTAAATAGTAGTGACTTGTTTTGCTTCATGAAAGTTCACAGATAGTTTACGGCTTGCTTTGGTTGACTTGCTGAGTGATGCCAAGCTATCTTCTGTGATACTGAGCTGTTTTTTTTTTTTTAAGTACTTGTTGTTTAAGATGGCTGCTCCATGGCTTTTCTTAGCTTTTTCCTTTGGCTTGTTTGTTTTGAGACAGGATCTTGCTATGTAGTCCAGGCTGGTCTTGAACTCAATGGAACATCGCTCCTCCTGTCTCAGCCTCCCAAAGTGGTGGGACTACAGGCATGTGCCACCGTGCCAGGCTTCCTTTGACTTCTGATTCACTGTCACAAGATAACTGCTATATCTGTGGGCATAACATCCATCTTCAAGACAAAAATGAATGTATGATAAAGTGAAATCACACTTTCCCCTCAAGAAAGTGAAATTGCAGGGCATGGTAGTATCCCTCTGTAATCCCACTGCTCTTAGCTTTGAATTAGTCTTTCCATCCATCTAGCTTGGGTACCTAGGGTGATTCCATGTCTTCAGTATTATATATTATGTCTCAGTAAACATGGTTATGCAGCTGTCTGTATAGTATTCTGACTTTAATTGCTTTAGGTATATACCAAGGAGTGGTTTATCTGCATTAAATGATAGCTATAGTTTCAGTTTTTTTGGGAGTCTCTGCTAATTTCCATAGTGGCTATACTAACTTTCATTCCCATCAGCAGGGTAGAAGTTTCCTTTCCCCACTCTCATCCTTGATAGTACTTAATGTTTCTTGTGTTTTGTTTTCGAGACAGGGTCTCACTATGTAGTTCAGGCTGGCCTTGAACTCACTATATAGTGAAGGTTGGCTTTGAACTCGTGATCCTCCTGCCTCTGCAGTGGAGTGGTGGGATTATGGGCATTTGCATGCGCCACCCCTCCCCCCTTTGTATTCATGCTAATAACCATTCTGACTGGAATGATGTGGAATCTCAGCTTTTGTTTTGGGGGAGCGGGAACTTCCTCGTGAAGAGGATCCTCAGAATGGTGTCAGTGTGAGGGCTGTAGTAAGGACAGTGGCTACACAGACAGCGGAAATTTTACTGTGCATGATGGGTCATCGCCATGATTATTAGTTTTTGTTTTTGTTCCATTTTGTTGTTTATTTAGTTTTCACTGAATTTAAGTTTGTTTATTTTGTAGTCATCATTTAAACTTCCACCTTGCAGACACAAACTCAAAGCCCAAGAAGTACATCCCAGAATTGTTGAAAGTGGACCCATCTTGCTGAAGAGACCACCTGTGAAACCACCCACTCAGCCTTTTGGCTTTAATTTGGAAATTGAGAAAAGAATCCAGGAGCAGGAGTCAAAGAAGAAATCAGAGGATGAACACTTTGAATTTCATGCCAGACCTTGCCCTACTAAGATCTCGGAAGGTGCTGTGGTAAGAAAAGCTGAGACTTTGCGTGCTGGCAGAAGCGCCCTGCCCATGAGCGAGTGTCCATCCATCCGCAGAAGCTCTGCCGTAGTGCAGCAGGTAACTAGGAGCCAGGCACTATGATACGAGGAGGCAGAGACGATGAAGTTACATACAAGTGATTTTGTGCTTAGGACTTAAGTCCAGTAATGAAGACAGCATATATGTACATAATATGAGATAGGCAGAAGTATTCTGAGAGAGGACAATTTAAAGTGCTGTGTGCATTCAGAGGAGAAAATGATTTCTTCCGCATAGGTTTGTGGAGGAAGCAGCATTTGCCCTGAGCCTTGGCAGTGTGTTGCTGTCATCAGTGTTGTTGTTGTCATGATAACTGACACTTGGACTCTGTGTGGGGCGCTGCTTTATACCCTTTTCCTGTGGGGTCAGCCCTCAGCCTCTGGGACCGATGCCCAGATCCCTCACGTAAGATGATACAGGTGTTTTCATGGGAACTACATAGTTGGCACAGGCTTTATTTTTTTGAGACACTGAGGGTGGCCTCAAACTCCTGGGTTCAAGGGATCCTCTGCAGAAGCCGCCTGGGTAGCTGTGACGTGGAACACATGCCATCACACTCAGCTTGCTGTCTGTTTTCTTCCTGCTGGCTTTAGAGACAGCCATGGTTTTTGGTAAAACCACGATGTATTACCTTTGACTGGATACCTGTTTTTGTCTATTCTGTATTCTTAGCACTAAGTCAAAGTTATATTTCCCAGGTCTTACAAAATTCATGATTAGGTCTTGAAATTTTTCTTTCCCATACCATTTTTCAGTTGAAAGCTTTTTTCAAATGAGACCTCCCTTCTATTCACAATGCTCCTCCCTACCTTTTTCTCTTTCTAGTTCTGAAGTACATGTACTACAAGCCAAGTTCTGCTAACAATAAAGTTTAAGAACCGCCCCGCCCAACACCTATGTGATTGGTCTCTAAGTTGTGCTTTTGCTTTCTTTGTCATTGTACACTTAATGAATAGGCTTCTGAATATGACAGGGCAAAGGTAGGTGGTATGGAATCCTCAGGTTCTGGAGCCAGCAGGGCTCTGTGTTTTTATATATCCATCCATCCATCATCCATTACAGTGCTGGGAATTAAGGCCAGGACCTTCTGCCAACAGCTCGGTATGTTCATTTTAGTTTGTCGTTGTTGGTGGATTTGTTTGTTTGTTTTTGTCTTTGATACAGGGTCTCATTTTGTAGTTCATGCTGGCCTTAAACTCTCTACTTCAGGCTGGCCTTGACCTCACAGCAGTCCTCTTGCCTTAACCTCCCAAGTGCTGGCGTTACAGGCATGCGCCACTATGCCTGGCATTGTGTTCATTTTATGTACAGGAAAACTGTGGCTCAGAGAAAAGAAATTGTTTCCTCAAGACTTCTATAACAATCATTTGGTGTTCCTTTGTTTTGGTGCTGGGGACCAAGCCCAGGGCCTCATACATGCTAGACATGCACTGCACCACCCAGCCGCGTCGCCAGCCAGCAATCATTTGCTGCCTGGCTTGTAACATTTTTCCTCCGGGCACTTGACTTCTCCCCTCCCATGTGCTTTTATTTTACAGTACACTTAGCTTTTACTACACTTTTAAACCCAGCTTAAAAATCACTTCAACTGGTAACTTAGACTAATTTTAATGGGAACCTTTAAATAGGTGACTGGAGTTCGTTAAGAGTTGGTTAAGATTCTTACCGTAGCACTGTACCTGGCTGCGCCGGGATTTCTGAGTAAGCAGCTCTAGAATGCGTTGGATAGGTAAGGTGTTACTGCGTGGATGTGCTGTGCTAAAGAAGAGTGTCTGCTAAATCCTGCTGGCTGTCAGAAGCCTGTGTAAATAAAATCAGAAGGCTTATGTAAATAATCTCCTGGGCCCCAGTCCTGCAGTTCTGATTTGTTGGGCACAGTGCAGAGGGAGCTGAGAAGAAGAACTTAGGATATAGGGGCTGATACACAGTAAGCGGTCATGCTGTTGATAGTAATAACTCCATTTTATTGAGGCCTCGCGTTGTTCTGAGTGCTTTACATAGTTTCGTTTTTCATAATAACTCTATTATCCCTATTTTAAAATTCTTTTCTTTTTTCTTTTGTTGGTATATTTTAGATATATGTAGTGTCCCTGTATGTTTGGTTTTTTTTGGACAGAGTCTCTCACTGTGTAGTTCAGGCTGGCCTTGCAAGTGCTGGGATTACAGGCATGTGCCGCCACACCCTGCAGTGTCCCTATTTTTTCAGATGAGGAAACAGACACTAAGAAATATCTAGGGTGTGGAACTGGGATTTGAGGCCATTACTTAAACAGTGTATTATTCTACCCCACAGTACTTAATATTGTTTCTTTGTCACATACAGCTTTTGAATTTGACACTGGCTGTTTGCCACACTCTGTACTAAAATTTTAATTTTTTTTCTTAGACAGGGTCTTGCTATGTAGTGTTGGCTGGCCTCGAACTTGATTATATAGCCCAGGTTGGTCTTGAACTCATGGTGATCCTCCTGCCTCAGCCTTCCAAGTGCTGGCATTTTGGGGTATGTGCCACCATGCCCGGCTCAATTCTTGCTTTCTAGAGAAGCAAATCATAGGACATTTTATGTGTATTCACCTCCACCCCTTTCCTGGTTCTGAGGATTTAACATAGCAAGTGCCCTACCACTAAGTTACCTTCCCCAGCCCTTTTAGTGTAGTTTTGTTTTTGTTGTTTTGAGACAGGGTCTTTGCCACGTAGTTCAGGCTGGCCTTGAACTCGCTGTGTAGTCCAAGCTGGCCTCAACTTGCAGCAGTCCTCCTGCCTTAGTCTCCCAAGTGCTAAGATTACAGGCGTGTGCCCCCATGCCCAGCTCCCCAGCCCTTTTAAGATTTTATTTTGAGATTTGATTTTGCTAAGTTGCCTGGGCTGCCTTGCATTTAAAGATCACGTCTAGCCCCCTAAGTAGCTGTGATTACAGGTGTCATCTAGTTATACCCTCACTTTTCAGAAAAGGAGTCTTTGAAAGGGGGATCGGCTTCCCCATAGAAATGTTTTTAAGAATCCTTGGTAGAACTGAGATTAGGTCCTGGACTTGTGTGGTAGAACCGAAGAGCCTGCCTGTGTCGACTGGGGGTGGTAGGTGGTGAGATGAGCCTGGGCAGCTGTGCACCAGGAGGCAGAGACGAAGAAGGCTCCTGGGCAGAGGTGGAGGATGCAGTGTTGAGCGTGGGGGCCATGAAATGTGAACTTAGTGCCTGCTCATAACGGGGGTTTCTTCTGTCCACTGCACTGCCCGCGTCTGACCACACATCTCTTCTTCATGGGTATTTTCCTAAATTTCCCCAATAGCTTTTAGCTTCATATTCTGCTGGATTGAGAACTGTTACGAAAATTAGGAAGTATTGAACTTATTCTTTACTCATTGTCTGTTTTTCGCACTGGAATGTGGGAACTCCTTGTGGACAGGCCTGTGTATATCTGCATTGTGCAATCTGTATCCCCAGCACGTTGCCAGTGACACCCCAGCACCGACACTCCAGTCTTGGATGATGGAGTGACAGTACACACTGATGTGCCCCAGCATGTATTTCTAGCTTATTAGACACTGGTAATTCAAACATGGGATCAGACCTCACCCTGGTCCTCAAAGCTTGCACAGGCTAGTAGAGCAGACTGAGGTGTATGCACATCAGTGCAGGGGTAGTAACCAGTACATGCTTAGTTACTCCCAGGTCTTTCTGCAGGTGCTGTGGAGAGGACAAAGGCAACATCCTGGCCTTTAAGGAGCTCATAATTCAGACTTAAAATGACTGAATAAGAAGCCTTCTTTTTTTCTGGAAACCTGATTTCCTTTTCTGAATTTCAGATTGAGGCCCCAGTCTGCTTTCCTTGCAGAGATAGGATGTGTTAGTTGCTGCAGTGATGATTTTCTTAAACACCTTTTCCTACCCCCGCTAATTATGAGGCTTGTTTCCACTCATAGATAGCTCCTTCCTGGCTGGCCTCCTAGAGATTTCCATTGCTCGACTTTCAAACTGCAGCTCTCTCTGCTGCTTGGATGAAGAGAGAAGGATAAGATAGGAAAGAGGGATTATTTTAGGATGAAATGAGCCCTCAGGTGTTTATTTCGATTACTCTGTGAAAAGTCCTGAGGCCTAGAAGGGTGTGGCGGGAAGCAGAGTGGGACGGCAAGGCCCCTGCTCCTCCTCACCGTTCTTCCCATGTCCACACGGCCTGGGCATTCGTCATGGTGCCTGCCTGTCTCCGGGGTGGTGGAGCAGCACATTTTCATTATCGTCTGTGGGAAGGATCATTTGAAAACACAGCTCTCAGACTCTTGTCACTGTGATTACAGGGTCTGGTCACTTGGATTTCACTATTCTAAGTGATGGCATTCTTTACAGAACAAGCAATCTTGCAGCAAGACAGCATTCCCCTCCCAGGGGCCGGCTAGAGACACTGTACTCACGGTCCTTTCTGGTGAGTGGGATACTGCACTGCACACCCTGCGAAACCACTTGTCTTGTTGCTGCGGTACAGTCTTGGGGATCTCTACATGACCACCAATCTTCATGCTTTAAAGATTAATTAAAAGCTAGTCTTACATTTTAAAGCTAGTCTAAAACTGTTCGGGACTACCTTTTAAAAAAATATTTTTAACTAAAACTTCTGAGTAGTCAAACATAGTAGGGGCAGAAACAGTTTTGTTACACACAAGGTAAAGACTGAGCAATTGTCTTGCATGGTCCAAAAAGTAGCTTTGAAAGTCACTGCAAGAAGAATAGTGCAAACAAGTTCTGAGGAGTTGCAGCATTGTCGGGATGGGGAAGTCTCCCAAGGTTATCCTCAGAGTCCAAGGAGTAAATTCTCATGTGTTGGCTCTTACTGCATTCGTTGAACAGACATTCCTGAAGGCCTTACACTTGCCAAGGTCTGTGTTAAGTGCTTCCAATAAAATACTGCCCATTCTTGAAGCCCTCATAAGTTGGTGGGGAGATGAAAGTCTCAATAAGTATGTATAGTGAAGTTTTCTGTATGTGTAGTCAGCCCACCTTATATTTGCAGATTCTTCGTATGCAGATTTAATCAGAGTAGATAGAAATATTTGTGGGAAAAAAATTACATTGGTACTGAAGATATATAGACTTTTTCTTGCCATTATTCCCTAAACAATACAGTATAATAACTATTTATCAGTATTTATGTTGTATTAGGTACTATAAGAACCTAGACATGTGATGCATCCCTGTAATTCTAGCACTTGGGAGGCTGAGGCAGCAGGTTCGAGGCCAGCCTGGGCTATAAAGTGAGTTCAAGGCCAGCCTGAACTGTATAGTGAAATCTTGTCTCAAAAAGAAATTAAAAAAAAAAAAAGGACCTAGAGATGACATAACGTTTATAGGGAAGATGTGGGCAGGTTATCATGCAAATATTACCCGTTTTATACAAGAGATTTCAACAGCTGTGAGTTTTGGTATCCATGAGGGAACACACTTCTGTGGGGCCCAAGAGTGGAGAGATCAGTCGTCAGGGTACGTGAGCTTCTCTTGGAGAGGAGAGGGTATTTGAGTTGTGTATTCCTTGCAGGGTGTTCCTGAAAAGAAGGTCCTTCCACTGACCATCCCCAAGTCTCCAGCCTTTGCATGGAAGAACAGAATCCGAGTGGCCACCAACGATGAGGTGATTTCCTAGGATAGGGAGTTTCCCTTTCCTTCTAAAGCAGTCTCAGCCTTAACTGTTCCCCTCCCTCCCTGCCTCTCCCTCTCCCTTCCTTCCTCCCTCTCTCTATCCCTCCTTCTCTCTCTCCCTCCCTATCTCCCTCCCACTCTCTCTCTCTGTCTCTCTTTCTTTCCTCTCTCTCTCTCTCTCACGGAACCCTGGGCCTCATGCATGCTAGGCAAGAATTCTACCACTGTGCTCCCCCCACTCCTCAAGCCTTACCATTTCTTAAACTTAATGGAGATCAAAGGCAGCAACTCTTTTTATGGTATTATAACATCTGCTCATCTGTTTTGCTCCTCTGTGAGCAAAGTAGTTGATAAGGTACAAATCTTCTGGAGCTCCGTAATAACCATTTACAATTTATAGAAAAAGGGTGGAAGAGTTGGGGACTGGAGGTTGTCTGTTTCTGCAGCATTGACATCAGCCTGTCTTTGAGAATAAGTTGCAAAGCCCTGTTTTTTGCCAGAGTTACTGTCACTGTTCCGTGTGGGACTCTGAAACGCGTAGTTCCATCTGCCTCATCTTACCGCCCTTAATACCAGGATGGCAAAGATGGCTGTGTGGTGCTGGCTCATGGAATTGTTTTTTTTTTTTTTTTGGTTTTTCTCCGGTACCGAGAACCGAACTCACGACCTTGCGCTTGCCAGGCAGGCGCTTTTGCCGCTGAGCTAAATCCCTAGCCCCTGGCTCATGGAATTGTAACAGACTGTCACTGTTGTACTGCTTTCTTATTCCATCTCCCATTCTATCTATAAATATCCAGAGCTGGGTAATTTTATAGAGGATCTCAAGCAAAGTCTTTTTATAGGTTCATTTGAAACTAAAATACACACTAATCTTAGGTTACCAGTTTGAACCCATACAACTGACTTCATCCTGTTCTGGGTTTGGCTGCTATTAACTCTAGTGACATATTTTAGTGTAGTCTGGAGACTGGGTCAAGAAAGAGGTGAAGGTATATATATGTCTGGTTAGTACTTTACTTCTAATCACCTTTTTATTTATGCTGACTTATTTCAGTGAGTTCTTCTAATAGTTCTAAAAACCTTAGATCTGTTAGGCCCTTATTAAAGGTTTTCCCATTGCTCTCAGCCCTGGGGCTTGGTAGCTGATTCTGCCATTGTTCCCCTTTGCCAAACAGGAAACGAAGGCTTGCATATGAGTGACTTGTCTCACAGTGTCTGCTGACTGCATATTCGCAGGGGTGGGAGGGAGTAAGAACTCTGATTTCTGAACTGTGATTTCTGCCTCAGGAAGAGGATGAACGAGCAGTGATAAGAGCTCAGTCTGTGCCACATTATGGGGTGCCTTTTAAGCCCCGTTTTCCAGAGGCAAGAACTGTAGAAATTTGCCCTTTCTCCTTTGATTCTCGGGACAAAGAACGCCAGTTACAGAAGGAGAAGAAAATAAAAGAACTGCAGAAACAGGAGGTAGGTGTTTCCATTTCTGCAAGTATCACAGTAGTATTCTCTTATCCCTCACAGGCGACCTTGCATGTAATACTTGACTAAAAGCACTTCCTTTGATTCTTCTAAGAATTATATAAGATATAAATAGGGCAAATAATTTAAATAATTCTTCTGTCTCAAAGTGGTTAAATAACTTGCCTCCGATCACACTCTTAGTTGTCGGCCATATTGGGAGGAAAACCTAGGTTTCCCTTTAGCCCCATTACTCTTTTCTTTGGACCACGCTGGTTTGAAAACTGGTCATCCTTGTTTGTTCAGATTCACCCACATATTCTGAAGCAACTATTGCTTTCTGGCTACAGAAGTCTTTCTCCTAAGTCACCTGTTTTGCTTTGTTTAGTTTTGTTTGTTTGTTTTCATTAGGTACCCACGTTTAAGGCACGTCCCTTACCTCATTTTGATAGCATTAACCTGCCAGAGAAGAAGGTAAAGGACGTGACCCAGCCTGAGCCGTTTGACTTGGAGACGGACAGAAGAGGTGCCAAGAAGGCTGAGGCGTGGAAGCGCCAGGTGGGAGGAGGGAGAGCAGCCCGAATGTTGGTGGGTTGGACAGGCAGACCCATGGCACTGAAGCATCACCTGGAATGAAATACGCAGTTATTTCAGAGTACTGTGTCTTAGCCAAGGCTCAGCACTTGTTTTTGGAAAGCACCAGACAGTAAATAGTTTAGGTTTCTGGTTACACGTGGCCTCTGCCTTGGTCACATATTCCTTGTATATGTGTGTGTTTTCATCCCTTCAAAAGTATGAAAACCATTCTTAGCTCAAGGGCTGGACAGAACCAGTTTGCAAGCTGAATTTGGCTTGTAAGCTGATGTCCACTGGCTCTCTTCTCAAGTGACCCCTTGGGAAATATAAAAGCTGCGGCTTTTTGTGTTAGTCTCTGTAAGATTGCATCACTCCAACTGTAGTTTTACTAATTAAATCCTCTCTGTGTTTTGGTAAGTACCAGGATGGGAGAATAGGTGCTTAGTATACTATGCTGTTTTCTCAGCATGGTGTGGAACATACTTGTTCTTTATGGTTAGCAAGTAATTACATATAATTAATTGGAGCCAGGTATAGTAGTACACACCTGTAATCCTGACGCTGGGAAGCTGGGGAGGAGGATTGCGAGTTTGAGTAAAAGGTGAAAGATTTATGTGATCTGAAGAGAAACCAGAGTATACCTAAGTTTGAGCATAACCTACTTAGCATTTGTCCTAGGAAAAAAACGATCTGGGGGATGTAGTTCAGTGCAAAGACCCTGGGTTCAGTGCCTAGTACTACACAAATATAAACAAAACCAATTAATTGGTTATTGGCTGGTTTAATTGGGATCTAATTATCTCCAACTGGAAAAATTGCTTCAGATTTTTCCAGTATTTTTACAATACCACTTATTCTGGATGCTATCCAAAAGGATCTCTGGGCTAATCCTTGCTTATAGGAATCACTCTCTTAGTCACTTTCCCGTTACTGGAACAGAATACCCAACACACTGGACTTCGAGGAGAGGTTTCCTTTGGCTGACAGTTTCAGTGGGTTTGGTCTGTGGCCAGCTCCAAGGCAACAATGGCAGGGTGGGCTGGCATTGTACAGTTGCTCACCTCATGCCAGCCAGCAGGCAGAGGGGCAACAAATTTCTTATAAATTTGAATTCCACTTGAATTGTTTAAATCAAGATCCAAATAAGGCCCACATCATGCATCTGTTTGCTAAATCTCCAAGACTCTTTCAGTTAGTAGACTCCTTTCTTTGTATTTTATTTGATGAAAAAAATGGATATTGTAGATTTTTCAGCCTTGGCTTTGTTGATTGTATTCCCATGTGGTGTTTAATATGTTTTTCTGTCTTCCCCATCTCATACAAATGAGTAGTCAATCTACAGGCCTGATTAAATTTTAGTTTGTGTAGTTGTTTGGTTTTTGGGGTGGGAAGGGTATTGGTGGTACTGCATGGTCAGTCACATCTAGACGCATATAATGTACAGTTTATTTCTGTGATGGTTAAGGTAAGCCTTAAAGGTATCTCAGCTGGGTGTGGCGGCACACAGCTATAATCTCAGCTCTTGGGAAACTGAGGCAGGAGGACTGTGAGTTGGAGGCCAACCTAGGCTACATAATTGTTATGTTTGGCCTGGATTGTATTAGACCCTGTTTCTTTTTTTTCTTTTTTTTTTTTTTTTTTGTGGTGCTGGGGATCAAACTCAGGGCCTTCTGCATGCAAGGCAAGAACTCTACCACTGAGCCAGATCCCCACCCCTTGACCCTGTTTCGTAAGATAAAACAAAACAGAAAAATGTCTTATACAGAGGCAGAGTCAGGAGGACACAAGTTGAAACCCAGCCTGAGCAACACATAAGGAGACTCTGTCTTAAAATTCTAAAAATGTTTTTAAAAATTTAAGGACTGGGCATGTATAGCTCAGTGCAGTTTGATTCACTGTACTGGGGGAGTGTATGTGGTATGTGTGTGTGGCAGAGTTCAGATACTTCTGGGTGGGGGTTTGACTAGTATTTTTTATAATTAATCATCTGTCTTTATTTACAAAGCAGTTCAGAAACATTAGAACTTGAGTTAACTGCAATAGTAGTGAAAAGTTGCAGACTCGCCTGTCTGACAGACTTTCTTCCTAACAGCTGGAGGAAGAACTGAAACAGCAGAAAGAAGCAACTTACTTCAAGGCTCGTCCAAACACGGTCACCTCCCAGGAGCCCTTTGTTCCCAAGAAAGAGAAAAAATCAGTTGCTGGTAGTGTTCCCTGTACCGTTGTGGGACTGGGGCAGAACTGTCAGACCTCCCTGGGGAATGCAAGGACTCAGCTGTTTCAGGACAGTGCGGTATAAGCCAGAGTGTCTGGCTTTAGAGGACAGAAGCTTTTCCCCCAGACCCAGCCTTTTGCAGTCACTGACCTTAGTGGCTCTGTCGCAAATGTGTTGTGTCCAGATCGAGATACAACGTGAGCCTTAGGCTAACCAGCCGGCTCTTCAGCAGCAGTAACTGGCTTCTCTCCTGAAGAGTCAGTGATGGGAGGTCTTTCTGGAGTTGGACCTGAAGCAAACCTGAGATACAGGACATTTGATTCCTTAGGCCCTGAGTAGTGGCTTAAAGGTTAGGGTTCTTCTATGTCTGTCTTAAAATCACTGTAGTTTGGAGCAAGCTTCTTTACCTCTGGGTCTTGCTTTTCTTCTGCTTATACTAAGTTTTCCCAGGGGCCCTTCAACTGTCAACATTCTGTGATTCCACCTTTTCTGTAACAGGGCTTCCTCAGAGCTCAGGCTGTGACTGCCTTCCATGTCTCTGCCACTCAGCTCAGTCTGGGGTTGGGCTGGGGCTCCGTTAATGGGATTGCTGCTCGCGTACTAGTGTTTTCTCTGGTTCTGTACTCAGAGGGCCTTTCTGGTTCTCCAGTTCAGGAACCTTTTGAGTTGGCCACTGAGAAGAGAGCCAAGGAGCGACAGGAGCTGGAGAAGAGAAGGGCTGAGGTGGAAGTCCAGAAAGCCCAGCAGCAGGAGGAGGCCAGGCAACAGGAAGAGGAACGGCAGAGGGAGGAGCTGGCCAGGCTACGGAAGGAGCTGGTAACTGGGCAGCGTGCGCACTGAACCCTGGGTTCTCTCCCTTGTTCTTCTCACCATGCCTCATTCCAGACAGGATCTACAGTAGCTTGCAGGGCAGCATCAGAGGCGAGTGGAAGATGTCGTCCCCACGGGGGTAGGAGGAGGTTCAGAGGGGCGCGAAGCAGGTGTGTACGTGGTGCTTTAAGAACAGCCATGATTCTGCCTCCCGAGGAACCAACCTGTCAGTTCTGAAACATAACAGTTGTTCAAAATACACACTTATCCTTGATACTGAATTTAGAATTTCTCCCAGAGGTCTGCATAAGAAGGACATCCTGTGATACCCACATGCACAGTGATGCATTTCCTACAACTCTGTTATTTATTTAATTTTCTTACGAGATTAAGAACCAATGTAATTTACAATTAGACAAGAGCGTACAGGACAGGGTATAGGGCAGGGGGAGGAATTACGAGGCAACTGTACTTTTTCCCCTCGTCATTCTTGGCTTCAACTCCCTGAAGTTACAGTATTAGTGTAATGACCTAAGTAGTAGTTATCTAAAAAGAAATCATAACCCACACTAAGCAACCCTTCGTGCGGAGGACAGCAAGTTGTGGTAACTGCATATAACAAGGAAGAAGGTGGTTCTTACTTGTTAGTTTGTTTTGTCTTTTTGAGACAGGGTCTCGCTATGCAGTTTAGGCTGGCCTTGAGCTTACTTTGTAGCCCAGCCTGGTCTCCAACTCACAACAGTTCTCCTGCCTCAGCCTTCCGAGTGCTCGGATTACAGGCATGCACCACCACACCCAGCAAGAAGGTGGTTTTTATGAATAGTAAAAGGATAACTATAGAGATATATATTTTGTCTAAAAGTGGTTAAATAGGGCTCAGTGGTAGGGCACCTGACTGCCATGTGCGAGGCTGGAGGTTCAGCACCACCAAAAGGACAAAACAGAACAAAACAAGCACGGAGGCTGGCTGCTGAGACAGCTGAGGGCTCAGGTGCCTGTGCCCCAGGCAGGCTTCTAGGACAAGCTACTGGAGAGAGCTTGGAACATCAAACTCTTGGGAACATCAAGCTAGCAAGTGCTGATGAAATGAGAAGATAGTACATTCCCCACTTCATATATAAAACCAGCCCCAACGTAGCTAGTTTTGGGTCATTATTCAGACCTGCCTCTTGTATTTGTCCTCATTGTAGAAGTGTTTCTTACAGCAGTTCTCAGTATAGGCTAATGACAGTATTCTAAAGCACAGTAATCTGGGCTAGTTATCTCTACTAATCTAGCTTGATTCAGGCTTGATTTTAGCTCATCCAGAAGGATAAATGGGACCAAGTCTTTTTTCTGACAGCCCTTCCTGTATACTGTTGGATTTTACTTTTTTGTTGTTCTCTGGGTTCATGTTTTTGTGACTACTGAGAGTCAGTAAGGATGTGGTGGTGTATGCTGTAATCGCAGTTATTCAGGAGGCGGAGGCAAGAGGACTGGTTACAAGATTGAGGACAGCCCACACAACACAGACGCTTGCTTAAAATAAACATGGGCTGGAGATGTCGTGTGAAGACCTTGAGTTCAACCCTCAGTACCGCAAAAACCAGAAAGAGAGAGAAGTAAGCTTAGGATTGTATTCTGGCTAATTCTTAACTTGTAACTCTGCAATTGAGTGCGGCCTCATTCACTGTATACCAGTGTACAGCGGTGAAATTACGGCACATGCGCCGCAGCAGGCTGTTTCTTACCACTGAAAGCTCTGGAGGTCGCCATCACTGCCCTGGTGAGTCACACAGGAGACGGGCTTGGCATTCTTAGTGAGGGACCCAACAAACAGCTCGTGGAAACCTATTGGTCTCAGGTGCTTTCTGTTGTACTTTTGCCCCTTCCCTTTAAATTCATAATTGATATCTGTAAAACTACACAACCGCTTTCTCTAAAAGAAAAAGTAAAGGCAGGTGCAGTGGCACACTCCTGTAATCCCAACACCGAGAGGCTGAGGCAGGAGAATCACGAGTTCAAGCCCAGCCTAGACAGTTGAGCAGCCTCATGAGACCCTGTTTCAAAATTCTAAAACTAAAACAATAAAGGTCTAGGTTCAGTCCTGCAACAGAACAAAACCGCTACGCATAGTTCTCACATCCCTTCCAACGCTAACTTTACTTTCTTTGTTCTGCAGGTGCACAAGGCAAAGCCAGTACGCAGATACCGCTTTGTGGGGATCAAGCCCAGTGACCAGCCTCTGACGGTGCCCTTCTCTCCTAAGTTCACTCGGTTCCACTGCTGAGCTCAGCCGTGAGCTGCCCTTACGTCACACCAGGCATGGAGGGAGCGACCCATGCCTAACAGCAATCTGACAGCGGTGGGGTCAGTTCTGTGGAGAAGTGTTTTGCATACATTTAAGGGTAAAATGAGACTCCACTATCCATGCCTGGATGAGACTTCTTGTAGTTGGTTCCTTTAATATCTGTTGACCCTTAATTAGGATTTGTAGTCTCTGTCAGCACAGTGCAATTTCTTGTACTCTTTATCCCTTCCCTTTATATATATGCATTTTTAATCAGAAAATAAAGATAATTATAAAGATAGTTAAATCTCAAGGTAGGATTTACCTCATGGCTTAAATGAGGAGCAGTCAGTGTATCAGAATCTTTCCTCTTCTGCACAAAATGAGTTAAGAGCCTCGTGCCCCGAGGGAGGAGAACCTCAGTAACTGCTGGTGCGGAAGAGCGCACCCCTCGCATGGACGGGCAGCAGCTGTTAGGCCCCTTCCCTCCCTGGGGCTGACAAAAGCAGGGAGTGGTGCTGAGTACATTTTTAGACCTGGCCAGGAGTAAATACATGTTGTCTTCCTCTCCCTGATTTTGTTAACTTAATGTTTTAAAATTTAAGCCCCCCACCCCTACCCCCACTTTGAGGACACATCATATTGGGGAAATGGGAGATTTGAAAGGTGGTCTGGGCTCATTCCGAAGCACAGGCTCTATCCTTAAAGGGAAGTGCTTTGTGACTTTTTTCCATCCATAGCAGAATATCAGCCCATGTTTTGCTAACTGGCTTCTATTAACCATCTAGTCATGTATGTTATGCATATAGATTGTGCCTTCTTTAAATGAGCTTTTTCTTATCTAAATTCCTTGGGAGATTCAGCTAAAGTAAAAAAAAAATTTTTTTTTTGAAACAGGGTCTCACTGTAGTTTAGGCTGGCCAGGAGTTCACTCTGTAACCCAGGTTGGCTTCAAACTTGCAGTGATCCTCTTGCCTCAGCCTCCTGAGTGCTGGGATTATAGGCATGTGCCGCCACTCCTGGCTAAAATATGTTTTAGGGTTCTTTCCTTGACCATGACCTCAGATAAGGATGGTCATTTCCTCTGTTCCTTCCAAGTGTTTCTTGTATGATGTATGTCTAGTAGACCATCTGTCTCATACCCGAGTTGCTTATAGTTCTTCACAACATAATAGATACATCAGTTCCTTGAAGACAAGAATTACTGTAGTCTTCTGCGTTTCTTGTGAGTGGCACATAATGCTTTAGGTCCATGCTGAATAATATATTTTCTTTTGACTTTCTCTTATTTTTGAATACTTCTGTGCCAAAAGCAGCTGTGTTCTGTACAGGTCAGTCCTCAGCACACCATGTATGATATCAGACCTATTTTATATTTGTTGCTTTATCCATACAGTGAGCATTTGTGGATTTCCTGTCATACATAAGCCACTGTAGATCAGCCACAGGTGACAAGGTAGTGCCTCCCACAGTATGACTTACAGACCCCTCCCCCTGGAGACCATAGGTCAGCACAAAAGGAGGTTTTCTGTTTATTTCTTAGAGGTATGCAGCATATGGTTTTATAACTGACTTTATTTAATAAATATTTATAGTGCTAAATGTAAATACCCACATCCGTTAGTACTGTTTTAGTCCCTGGGAATACGGCACTGAGGAAACAGCACTGCGCCTTTTGTGGTGCTTGCACTTTGGTGGGAGAGACAGACACCAAGCGCGTAAGTATTCTTCCATTCACAGAGCTCTTGCGGTATCTGCTGTGCAGACAGGCGGGGTGGGAGAGGAGCGTGTAAGAGGGCAAGGCCTGGATGCCAGTGAGTTGGCTAGGGTGGCCGCGGTGGGGGTGGTGAGAAATGGTGGCTTCTGGGTGAATCTGACATCGTGACTGTAAGACTTGCTAAGTGGACACAGACACGGAGGAGTTACGAAGGGCATACAGTGATCAGCCTCAGACAGACATGGATCGCTTGTACTAAGATAAACCTAGTTCTTGGATTCTTGCATTCATTCATTCATTTATTCAGTCAGTCAAGTCAGTCAGTCTTCTTGAGACAGGGTCTCGCTATGCAGTTCAGTCTGGCCTTGAACTTACTCTGTAGCCCAGGCTGGCCTCGAACTCACAACGATCCTCCTGCCTCAGCCTCACAAGTGCTGGGATTACAGGTGTGCACCACCACACCTGGCCTAAGCTCTTAATTTCTTGTCTGGGTCTGTCCTGAGTAGCTTTTCTGTTTGTGTCACAATTCTCCTTTGCCAGTTCCTTAACTCGTATGTTTGCATCTGCCATTGTTTTTTCATATACCTTGTATATTTTTACTTTCGATTATTTCAGGTGGGACAGTAAATCCAGCCCTCAAACCAAGGACTTTAGAAAGTATTATTGTATTGCGAGTTACGGGCTTAGGAACCTGCCACCCCATTCACTGGCCCCATTCTCGGTTGTCCCCTGCCCAGCCCCCACAGTGTATGGCAGTGTTTTAGAGAAGTTACAAAGTGTGATTATAAATAGGTAAATATTTTAATTTTATTATAGCAGAAGACGCATTGCCACGAATCCCCCTCAGAATACTACCCACATGCTTCGAACACAGGTCCCATTTTTCTTGCCCTTTTTGGAGACAAGGTCTTCACTTTGTAGTTCAGGGCTGCCTTGAATTCACAGTAACCCTCCTGCCTCAGCTTCCCGAGTGCTAGGGTTCCAGGTGTGTGCCATTATGCCTGGCTTTGTTCTTGCTACTTTTGAAGCAGCTCTAGAAGACCTCTTTCATGTTTTTAGTTGAGTTCTCATGACTGCCTTGATAACCTGAATTGATTAAAACTGTTGGCCTTTCATAGTGATTTTGATTTCTGAGAAGAGTCAGAAAATGTGTGGTGTGTGATCCAATGAATAAGGTGGATGAAGACGCAACTGTTTTGTTTAACAGCAATTGTGGTTCCAGAAGTGATACATGACATAGAGTACTGTCATGACGGAGGATGAAACCAGTTACCCAATCTCGGGTTGTTTTCACACCACCATTTAAAAAATGCTCTAATAAGCTATATAACATTCTGAGTTTTTAGTGTTTCTGGGTACAAACTCGGCTCATGTTTCCATGAAGGTCAAAAAGCCCGTATCACCTTGCTGTTGGAACTTACTGACATGCTTTCTTTACATGAAGAGAACTGGGGGATTTCCATTGACAACTTGAACCTTCATCTCATGATCATAATCAGACTCAAGTTTTGTGTCCCATATGACATTTCTTAGAAAGTTGGGAGTCTGGAGCTGCATGATCATGTAACTCCAATGAAAGTTAATTTAGTGTTCTTTGTGTTTTTTAGACAAGGTTTCACTGTGTAGTTCAGGGTGGCCTTGAACTTGCTATGTAGCCCAGGCCAGCCTCTACCTCCCAAGTGCCAGGACTACAGGCATGCACCACCATGCCCGGCTAATGTGAATGTGTTTTTCTGAGTCTGTGATTTATGGTGTAAACGCACCTCTCAACTGTAGCTCACAAGTAACTGCACCAAACAAGTTGAAACTTCTCACATGCTTTTACTAAGGTTCGGCTTGCTGCTTCCTGTATTGAAGATGCCTGCCTTTCAACTGGCTTGCACTAGGCAGCAGCATTCACCCATATATATATATATTTTTTTTTCCGGTACCGGGAATTGAACTCATGACTTTGCGGTTGCCAGGCAGACGCTGTGCCACTGAGCTAAAGCCCCAGCTCACCCATATTTTTTGATCACAGAACAAATAGCTTAAAACTGAGTGGTTAACTGTTTCTTAACACAGACTCATGTCTACTGAGTCATCTCTTGCAGGATGCCCTCACCATTACCTTTTTCCTCCAGAAACTCACTACTTTTAGGGAGAAATTCATGTTCTTTGTCCCTTCAGGCCAAGTTCTAGAAGGAACTTCATCTTCCCATACTAACAGGTTACTCGGGAATTTTCCTAAACAAATGAAATGTCCTGAGATAAGAATTTACTAGGAGGGCTGGGGATTAGCTCAGTGGCAAAGCGCCTGCCTGGCAAGCGCAAGGTCGTGAGTTCGGTTCCTGGTACTGGAGAAAAACCAAAAAAAAAAAAAAAAAAAAATTTACTAGGAAATCTGGCTGCTACACTTTGCTTTGCAATTTTGCAAAGTTTGTAATTTGCATGCACATGTAGATTGTGCAAGTTCCCATTTTCTGGGAAGGGCAGTTTTCAAAAGCGTTCTGACTTGGCCATGCTTTTCCATTGCTCATACTTTGCAGTTAATTCATGTAAGACCATTTTCACTTTTTGATTAATCACTGTTTTTTCCTTGTGTGATGTCTTAGTTTTGATTTTTGTTTCTTTGGTTGTAAGACAGGGTCTTACTGTATTGTTGAGGCTTTGAGCTCACAGCGCAGGCTGGCCTTCAATTCACAGTGATCCTCCTACCTCAGCCTCCATAGTGATAGGATTACAAGTGTTTGCCACATGCTCTGCTTGTGTAGTATCCTGGCTGGTATTTTGCTTGCTGTTTTATTCCTTTCTACTTCTTTTCTGAGGAGTTTGGTCCCTGGAAAGTAGAGCCAGAGTGGACAGACGGCAGTATTAGTTGCTCCAGCATCTAACAGAGATTAGACCTGGACACACATAATTAACACATGATAGGGTGTAACTCAGTAACGTGAGACAGTGCTGTAGCAGTTCAGGGTTCCTGTTGGTAGTGAAGTTATAATTCATATAGATTTTTTTTTTTTTTAAAGTAAAAATTCTAAAAATTTTCACAGTTGGGTATCTGCCTAGGCTTTGGGGGGCTTGCTTATGGCTGGAGTGTCTAGTTGAATGTGTATGTCCTGTGATGAATCTTGACATCACTTCCTTTGCAATTCCCTTGAAAAAGGCCACCTCTTAGAAGCTGGTTTGCTGGGGGAGTTCTTCAGTACTGAGAGAGGCAGTTGAAAAAGCTGTGAGCTGTGTGGCTGGGCTCCTATTTCAGCACAGGCAGGCTGAGTTTCAGCTTGGTGGCGTGGATCCAGGTAGGAAATTGTCAGCATTCTGAATCCTAAGTAGCCTTCTGCTTTGCAGGCTGCTGGGATGCTCAGAGAACATACAAAGTTCCTTGGAGATGCGACAAGCCCAGGCCTATGGAAAGAGCAAAAAGGCTGAAGTGTGTGGCATTTTGAACACTGATGAAGGCATAACCAGGGAACTGAATGTGTGCATCAACACCAGGAATTCCAGGGCAGTATGTTACCCAGCTAATGCCAGTGTGTAGCTGCTACAAAAGAGAAGCCTGGGGACAAAAGCATACTTCCTTCTTGTTTTGTCTTCTTGCATAACTGCTGTTTCCTAGTGCTACTGGAACAGTTGGTGACATTGGAAATGTCTGGAGTTTTTTGTAGGAGAACGAAAGGCTAGGCTCAGGCCAAAGCACATTTCTTATGCACTGAAGTATCACCTTCCTGGAAGGCCTTTACCGATGCTGACATTTCACTTGCAAAATCATAGTTAGAGGGTTGGGTATAATCAGCTAAAAGAAATACTAGGTTTTGTTGGGAAAGAATGATTTCACCAGACTAAGCTTGACCTGAAGGCATCAACTGCCTTTCTTCCCTTTTTAAAAAAAATGTTTTCATTGGACAGAGAGGAAATAAAAGGCTGGCCTGTCTGATCTGCAGTGTCCCAAGTAGTTATGGGACTTCTATTGCTGTGGAATTGAGGACCAGGCCAAACAGAAGACAACAGCGCCAGAGGAACTTTGGAAGGCAGTTTATTATGCCAGCTGGGGAACCAGAGGTTCACATCACCAGCCTCACTCAGAGGTTACTAATCGCTTACGTAGGTTTTGAGAAGGAAGTACAAAAGGCAGATAACGTTGCATTCTATAGT